CCCCCAAGATTGCCATCAAGTCAGAAGGAAGGAGAACTGCCAGAGAAAAAATAATACAAAGTAATTAAAAAGCAAAACTTATATTTGCCACATTTTGTTACTTTCACTATTATAAATAAAATTTATCTTGTGATGCCTCCTCCCGTGTGGCTCTAGATTTGTTGTTGTTATAGCACAAACGGCCAACTGCCCCAAATCCTGAACTGCAAAAAGAATAAACAGAAATTTGTTAAAATAGTCCACGATCGGATGTGCCAGAATTAAGAAAATAATGACACTTACTGTTCAAAATCAATAAACGTCAATACCTCGATGACATTCACTCTGCTTGTGCCAAATATCAACTACAAATTCTAAAATCACAACCTCACAAACTCATTAAAGAATTAGAACAAACTCTAGAATGTCCAAGTACTGATACTTATAAAAGTTGTGATGGAATTGCCCTTGGTCAAATAATTATGAATTGCATATTGTTCTACTAAATACCAAACATCCTTATCATTGTCCCACGCTTCAAGACAAAGTCCTATTTCAAAATTTCAGAAATCCTTTACATTTTATCTGAATTTCATAGCAGTTTTAACCAAAATTTTCCTCAAAATTAACAATTTACACCCAACTGTATATAATCAAAGTCAGCAGTGATGCAGAAATCTATCAACAATTTAAATGTAAATAGACATGGCATAGATGTTATTTGAAACCGTTCAATTTGAGATGATCAAATCTAATTTAGTAGAAGCTTCTATATCACATACACCATATTGTAGTAAAGCAGGAAGGCCATATGACTCTACATTAAAGAAATCCATAATTCACTATTGTTGAATCGAAAAAATCAAAATTATTGATTAACTAATTTACCATTAACCATATCCAAAAATTTACCAGGAATTAGGGTCTACTTCTGCTTCTCCCCCTGTTGATATAATAAAATTCTCATTTTGAAAACAATTTGGAATCTATGTCACTTTTATATAATAATTTGCTGAAAAACCAAAATATCATAAGATGTTCCACCATTTCTCCAAATCTTCCATCTAGTATTCAAACTAGACTGAGATTATGTAAATTTCAAAGTTCCATCTGTAATGTCTTATCTTTATAACATCCCCCTGTGTTTTCTTATTTCCAAAAGAAAAACAATTTAGAGGTGGAAAAACAAAAATGGAAGAACTTACCCCCATTATGCTAAAATTTCAACATGTCCAATCAGTCACCCATATGAAATATAAACCAAGTTTATTTAGTTAGAATTTAGGTTAGTTTGTTAGTGTTGTTAGTCAAAGTGGATAACACAATTTCCTAATAACTACATCTATCTGCTTTAAGCCAAGGCTGAATTCTCGTTTCATATTAATTTCACTGCACAAGCAGATGATTCAGCTTCAACCAGATTGTGACACCAAAATATGAAATCGTCATTACCTTAAAATTGTCCCTTAAAGCAGTAATAAAAACATATTTATGAAACAAAACCTTCAGTGTACCTAAATAGTTTAAAATAAGAAAAATATCACACAGCTACACACTAAACTGAGGTCATATTTACATAGAGCATCCTAAAGCCCATCAAAGGCCATCTGCCTCCACATTCACTCTCATTCACACTCAAGCAGACTCATCAACACATTGTAAGAAAGATGCAGGATGTTACCCCAGATTTCAAACCAAAATTCATCCTGTAAAAGTCTTAAACACAAATATTATAACACCATGGTTGAAAAAAAATAATAAAAAGACATTATTATCCAATAGTTCTAATATTGTTCAGTTTTGAGTGAACCTTTTTAAAAACTCCAAATTATACACACAACCGTATTTCATGATAGCCCACTGTTATTAGATGGCTACCTAGACCCCCTGTAGGAAAACCCAAAAACCGTTCATGTGGTCATGTAATATGCGAAATGGGCTGCACACGAAGATCGTCCTACAAGAAACAAAGTCATTCATTAGTGTTTCAACATGTCCCACATTAACAGTGTAGAAAACACTGTTAAGCAGAAAAACATCCATATGTTCTCCTGTTCCAATCAGTGAGGGTGTTCCCTCCTGTGTCAGGAAACCTAGAAATTTAAGTGATTGTCAATGTTACAGTATTATGATAAACAATTGGATCATTCCAGTGCTCAAGCCTGGAACTGATGCAACACATTTCACCCGCTGAGAAAGTAAAAACATCTGTAAATCTGTTATTTTGTACTTTTCATTTCAACACAAAACACAGTCCTAAAGCAATTCACATCAAAATCCAAGAACCCTGAAAGCGTAAGCTGGAAATAGCACAGAACTGAAGCACTCCCAAAATGCAAATAAGGGGGGTCAATCAGTCCCCCTGCTGTGAAACAAAACTTGCATCCAAAACGGAGACACCTCTGTCCCACAGAAGCACATTTTAACAGAAAGTTAGTAATACAACATCCAGCAAAAATATTTAACAATATTTCAGAACACAATCTTGAAACACAAATCACTTCCGCACAATCTCAGCACAATTCAGACACAGACAGACGAATAGACAGCAGCGCGTGGTGGGACATAGGCTACAGTATAACGGGGGAAGACAGACACACAGCCACAAACACAAAGAAACATACAAAACACAGAAACACAGACAACGTTGTAGTTCAGTCAAGAAAAGACAGAAAAAAAGAAAAGAAAACGTCAGGAGCCGGCTAAAAGAATGTATGACGCATCTTTTAATTGTCCAATTTCAATTTTACAAATCCCTTTTATTCTCATTTCAACTTCTCAGTCCTACACTTCAGAGCTGGGTCAAGCTCGAGGCGAAAATAAGCCTCAATTTAGTTTATTCGATCACTCAATCCGCCCAGTGACGAAAGGTTTTTTTCTTTTTCAGCTGGGGAGAGCGATTGAACCCGTATTAAATCAAATAATTTATTTTAGTCCTTTATTTTCCACGAGTGATACAACTCGGTCCAATTAACCCGCTATTAGTCCTTTTCCATGAGTGATACAACTCGATCCAATTAACCCAAATAATTATAAGTCCACTGGAGATGAGTCGAAATCTCCGGCTGATACAAGCCAAAACTAACCAATACACAAATTTCCAAAATACTTTTTTTAGAGGCCCAGGCATTGCTCCTCAGGGTAAAAATAATAAATTAATCTTTATTAATTAATCAATTAATTAATTAATCAATCAATAAAACCTTCTTTTAAAAAACCCAGCTTAAGTCAGAGTTAACGTAAAGGCTCTGTTTGAACTAGCCACAGTTCCCTGTAATGTGTATTCATTCAAATCCTTAAACAACCGACTCTTTTAGAAGGGATTTTATCTACCTCTGCAGCATCTGAATTCTGTGAGGCCGCACACAGCAAATCAGCCCCGGTCCGACCACACGGCGCTTCAGACAACTGAAAAATAATCAGATACTGTCTTACCACACCGAAGCGTCGGGCCGAAACGGATCAATCAGGACCAAACAGCCGTCCGCCGAGACTCCAGAACCGGCACGAGCCCCCAATTGTAAAGGAAGAAAATATTCTAACATAGTTAACTTTGGAAAAAGGTTGGCTTCTGATTCTTCCCTTCCCCAGGTCCACTCGGCGAGCTGCGTTTGGTAATAAAACCAACATTGCGTGTTGACATCACAGAATTACAGAGTTTAATCCAATATAAGACAATGCATAAACTTAGAAATAAGACAATGCACAAGCCTACACCAGAAACTGCAGAACAACAGAGACATACATTCCATTACCTGACATAGGAGGAAAGAAAGCAAAGACGTACAAGACATCTTTGGAGAGTTTGCAAGAGCAAAATCTGATCTGTAACTTCTATTTAGAAAGCTTTATCCTCTTGTATCTAATCCATTCAAAAAGGGCTGGCCCTCGGTCCTCCAACCAGAGCCATCTCTGACACTGAGCTTCACCTAATTTACTGCAAACATCTGGGGTCATTTGCTTCTTTGTTTTAACAAGAAAAGGCGGAAAGCTTGTCCTGGCATCTAGCATTCCTAAAGTCATAAAACACAAGATAAGCTCTCACAGACAGCTTGTGGAATGCGGGGGGGGCCTCACTTTTGACCTTCTGTAAACCAAGCAGAAATCTCTCCTGCAGGCTTAACTGTTATTCACCCCCCAGGAGATACTCATTCTATGGGCTGGTGGTCTAAATACTTATCCATTAGTAGTTTTAAATCATTAACACAGCCTTGTTCAAAATTAAGAAATATGTTCAAGTGAGAGTGTTTACACATGCCATAAGATTAACTGTATTAAAGTCTAAAAAATAATCATTTTTCTTTAACAGTTGTAATTGGATCATTTGCAAAATGGAAAATTACAGGGTCAGCAATACTGGAAAAAAGCAACTATCTTGGAATGTAATTAATGTGAATTAGGTACTTTAACACAACCCTGCTTACATTGAAATAAATGTTAAACTAAATCGGATTAAGTAAAGGCCAAAAATTGTTGCATTATTTCTTTCTGTAAACTGAGGCTAATTAATCTGATTTAAATTGATGTACATGTATAAGTATATCACAGGTTAGGATACAAGTTTTACATCCATGTCATATCCAAATTTAGACTGAAATAATCATGTTTATCCCCATTGACATTTAAAAAAATACGAAGTTTTTCAAGGGGATATTATGATAATGCAAAATTTAGAATATTTAAAAAAAAAATTTACTGATCTAATTTGACATAGGAAAGCATAAAATTACTAGAGGTTTTTTTTTTAAAACAACTAAAGATTGGGCTTGTTCTTTGATTTATAATGATGCATTTAATGAATCTTATTAATTTCAAGCACACAGTTTAAGAATAAGTTACGAATACAGCACTCTGAAAGTTTGTCTATTCATTTGTAATATATTTTTTTTTCTTAGCTTTCAGTGGGTCCCTTTTGTTTTTATGGGTTAAGAAAAACAAGTTGGTAAATATATATATATATATATAACTGTTTTTGGCAAGGTATTAATGAGATGGTGCTGCTGACCTCCTCTCCTCTGCAGAATGACTACCGTAAGTTGTCCATGCAGTGTAAAGACTTTGTGGTGGGTGTGCTGGATCTTTGTCGAGACACAGAAGAAGTTGAAGCTATTCTGAACGGTGATGTGGATCAGTGCCCACCAAGCCCCTACAACCGACCCTGCCTCAGCCGCGTCAAGTTGGCCATCAAATATGAAGTTAAAAAGGTAAGATTATTTACAGCATAGTTTAGCAAAATAAAACATAAAGTGAAAATGTATGGATTTAACGTACAAAAGGAGGGAAATATTACATAAGTAAATAGGAAAATAATCAATGAAAAATTTAAACACACCAAGTACAGCATACGCATGTTTATATATATATTATCTGGTAATGTATAAATACAAATAATGGAATTAAACTGATATCTTGCATATAATAGACACTTTTAACAAGAGCTACAAACCCTGAGATGTTACTCTGTTATTTGTATATTTTTAGCCTTTTATAGAAAATATATTTTTTTTACACTTTTTCTTCTGACAAAGAATTTTTCTGACAAAAATACAGTATTTATTTTGAATGTTTCAAAAAGGACTCAATAGATGTTACATTAACTCATCATACAGTTTTAAACAGCAGGGACCGATTATGAATAGCTGTGTGCTTTTTTATTGTTGAGCAGTCAAGAGAATGAAATAACTTTCATTGATTAAAATCGAAACTGAGCACATCTATTTAGGACTCTCTTGTCAAGGTTCAGGACAAAAGGACCCAGTTTTCGAGGCAGACAGAGATTAAAAAAAAATATTTGATAAGAAACGGATCTGCAGTGAACAGCGAGGCCATCTAATTGGACTGCACTTTAAGACCTCTGCAGGAGGTCTCAAAGTTCAGTCCATGCCCAGAGGACGAGGTTGGTTCCAGCCGGTCAGCTGCCAACAAGACGTGCCAGATGCTGTAGCCCCGGAGGTTGGAGGGCAGGCAGGAGATCAGAACCGAGCAGACAAAGGAAGGCAGGATAACCCAGAGGGTGAAGCCAAAGCTGTTGTTGATTATGTGCTCAGGAGTCCGGGGACAGGTCAGGCAAACAGATCAGAAATGGCACAGGTAGGCTCAGAAGTCCAGAGGCAAAACGGGTCAGGATCAGGAAATCACAAAACACAGGTGCGCTAGAGGCTCTCACCACAGGCTTGAATAATTTGAATTAATGACTAGTAGAAAGCTGGTGAATAGAGGCAGGAACAGGTGGATCCGATGAACGGTAATGAGAACTGAGTGCAGCTAGACAGTGAATGAAAAGAGTAATCAGGCCAGTTATCAGCGCCAAGATCATGACACCTGTATAAAATTAGTCTCAGTATCAGTATATCTTTCCTTTTTATCTCTAATTTCATAACACAAATGACCAAAATTTCAATTACAGCTTTCCTCAGTAATGTAACCAACATCAGGTTTTGAAATGACTCATAGTTGTATGTTAAACCCCTGACTATGATATCCTCAAGCTCAGTAGTTTATTAGAATCAACTACATCCTCAAACTCTTGAATGGATTCATGATTTAATGAATTTATTTCAGACAATTAAATACTGTACAATTATAAATTTAACACATGGAAGCACTTTTTATAATCAAAGATGTATATAATCATCAAAAGGGAAAGGGAGACTTATCTAATAAAACCCCTTCTCCTTCCTTAACACTAACAGTCTTCCTAATTCCTATTTTACATGATTCAAAAAACCTAAATTGCCCTCATTGCAAAATAGTATACCGATTTCATTACATGTGATTTCAAGAAGTATAAATCCAGGGTTTGTGGACTTTCTAAGCTCAGTAAATCCACCTGACATAATCCAGTCATTTGAGGGTTTGTTGAGGACATATTACAGTACAACAATAATGTTATATAAAGAGCTTAAAAAGGAATGTGTCATGAAGAGATATATAAAGCTTGCTACCTATCTCAAATTATAGAGAAAGGAAGAGGCAGCTAACAACATATAAGGGCATGGGCGGTTCTAGACGAGGACCAACAGGGGACATTGATCTCTCCCTCTCTCTGAGGAGAGGTGGAGAGGAAGTGGGACAGAGTGGGGCTGCCTACAAGCTTTTAAGAAGCAATATAAAAAATGTCGCAGAAAACAAAATTATTTTAAAGCTACAATACAGATGAGGTCCAAAAGGTATGAAAGGTTGAGTGTTAATCACGCATTACCAAAATAATGGAGTGAAAAAGAACTTCCATTAAGTTCCATATGCATTAACACGTTAACTCTGACAGCCCTAATTGCAAAGTTTCTGTTGCATCAACTCCAGACTCTGTTAAAGTATTACCTGTTGCATAGCTGTTCTCTCTGCATGATTACATACTGGGCTCATTCGTTATGGATGACATTAGAGAGAGGTAAATCTTTTTCTTTATCAAATATTTTTACGTTGCTTGTATTTAATACTATCCATTACACACTTCCATTTTGACTAATTATTATGGTTAGTATAATACTAATTTTCTTCATATTTTTTGTGCCTCCTCCCATACTTGGCCTTGCCTTAGAAACAGTGTGTGACGCTTGAGGCGGGGGAGCACTGGTGTTTAGTTAATATAACGTGGCTGAAGTGACATTGGTTTGTTGAAGACAGGCCAAATACGGAGATTAGATATATTTTGCAAAAAAAACAGATGTTTTAAAGCTATGTTTTTATACATTTAGTTTCAAAGGCTTGAGGCTTGAAGTTAAGCCAGGCTTGACATGATAATTTTTCTATCAAGAATAAAGTCAGAATGTCATAAAAATAATGTTGTAATATAATTACAACAAAGTCATAATATTACGAGAACGAAGTAATAATATTCATAGGCGGATCTACTGGGGTGGCATAGGGTGGCAACTGCCACCCTAAATGACAGCCTTGCCACCCCAGCTGCCACCCCAGTTGGCGGTAGGGGTGGCGAGGCTTATAAATTATGGATCATTTGAGAATTGCGACCGCTAATTTCCAATGTCGGACTGCAGAGAATGCAGCACGAGATGACGCGAGAGCGACTGAGACTGATTGTTTTGAAAACCGAATGGGGCAAAGCGAGGGAGCCAGGGGTGATGTGGAGAGGAGACACGGGATGAAATAGGTAAAAACTGATTAACTATCTATCGAGAAATGAAATCATAATGAAAGTACAATGTTGCTAGCATAGCTGCAAGGCTGATTTTGAGATGATAAAAATCAGGTTGCAGAACGTTATTTCTCTAACTATGATGTTAGTTAGGCCTGACGTCTCAGGCTCATAAAGACATATTTGCGGTCAACTATGACAGAAAAGAGACTATATAGTTTGGTTGCACTCAAATCAAAACGCACAAAGGCATTGGATCTAAATAAAGTTGTGAAGCGTTTTGCTGAGCAACATGGAAATCACTGCATTCAGCTGTTATAGTCATGTTAACTTTATGTTATGCTCTCTGGTGAGCCTTTACAGAGCTGTTACATTTTGTTTTGGCACCTGAGAAAATCTGATATTTCCTTTAATAAAACCAAAAGTGTTAAAAGTTAAAAATGTGATACTGGTGTGAATCCTGCTTAATATGAAGCAGAGTTGTTGTTTCTTTTTTTGTATATATAATATGAAACTATCCAGAAATGACCTGTATGAACCTACTCACAAGCAAAATGTATTTTTATGTTGCTTCTTTTCAGATTTGTTGAGATTTTGATGTAACATACAGAACCCGCCTTTTTGTTGATTTGTAGATACAGCAGTATGGAGGACCAACTCTGCCATATTTAAAAATAAATACATAAATAAATAAATGCTTAATAAATAAATAAGCATACAATTAATTGCCACCAAAAATACAAACAACAAATAAATGTAAGTAGAAATTAAATTATACAGCTAGTCATAAAGGTATATAACTCTTTTAATTGGCTTCTTTATTTCTTTGCCTTTTTAAAATTTACCTTATTTATTTTTTTTGTCATTTATTATCTTCAACTTCATTTTTTCATTACTTATATTTTTAAGTATTTATTTATGTGCATGTTATCATATTTTTGTCTGTTTTATTCTTCCTTTGTATTTTTTTACCCTAGTTATTTCTTCGCCGCTATTTCTTTCTGCCTGCCCTTTTAAAATTTCTGCCTGCCATTATAATATAATTTCTAATTACATTTATTTGTTGGTTGTACTTTTGGTGGCAATTAATTGTATGTTTATTTATTTATTGAGCATTTATTTATTTCTGTATTTATTTTTAAATATGGCAGAGTTGGTCCTCCATATACAGCTCTATCTACAGCATATTTACATGCATGAAATGTCCCTTTCATGTTGCCGTAACTGCTGTATGTCAAGTTACTGAGGAACAAATGGGGTAAATGTGTGTTCAGAGTAAACAATACATAGATGTCCAGTACCTTGTCAGGTGCCTTGACCCATTTATTTCTACTGTGTAGTTCTGCTCACTTTAGTACAGCTCAGTCCATAGATCTCTGATCAGTAACTTTTTCTTTCTATAGTTTCTTCTTGTGCAAATGCTGCAAAGCTGCTTCTCTTACAGTCAATCTCACACATCTGCGACTCAGCACCTGTGTCTTACCTTAATACCTTTCCTGTGATAATGCCCCTCTAGAAGTAGTGTTATCATTCTTCTATCTCCTATTAAGTGAGATCACATTGTACGATGTATTTCTAATATGAACTGTTTCACATGAAACACTAGTACTGTACATACTATTCTCACCAAACTGTGATAACTGTGAATAAATTCAGTGTAAACAAATGCCATATGTTGCCACCCCTAAAAAATTCCTGCCCCCCTCTTGCCACCCCATAAATATTTTTCTAGATCCGCCCCTGATAATATTACAAGAATAAAGTCTTAAATTACTAGAATAAAGTGATCATACCACAACCCATTTCAGGAACAAAGCTTCGAGCATGCTTTCTTCGATATCGACATAGTTGTTCGCAAAATCGTCTCAAAGTTTTGATACTGATAATAATTGGATGTTGGTGTGCTAAAAGACCATATTTCCTTATTTGTCAAACCAATGCCAAAGTAGGCCTATAGCTTCATTAGCTGCTCGACATTCCTCATTTTAGAGAAGACAGTGCTTCTTGTAAGAGTTGCCATAAAATACAGCTTCATTTTTATAATATTACAACTTTATTTTCATAATATTATGACTTTATTCTCATATATAAAAAAAATCTCTAGCCTGTCCCTAATAGTCTCTCGTACCAATTTTGAAAATGCTTTGATTTAAATATAGCTTAGTAAAAATTTTGGATAGAATGACGAGCAACTATTTTTAAAGTGTGTGATTTGGTGTACTGAATCTATTAAAAGCTCCTAACCCGTTATGGTAATTGGGTCTCTGGTTAAATCAAATGACTATGACATAAGCTTTTGATCATTTAATAACCCTGTGGATGAGCTTTAAGTATTTTTACAAAACTGTTTTAAGTTCAATGTTGTTGTGTCTGTTGCCTTAGAAGGCTTAAAGTAAGCAACTGACAGGCCCCTATGGGAAAACTAATCCGCACTGAGCAGAGGTGGCTTTAAAATGTCAAATCAAATCCCTTTTCCCCATTTGACTTCACAAAACTCCTGCTGGCACATACTGCTGTTTGGAACCAAAGCTGTATGTGTTTCTATACAACCCATTTTTTTATTTTATTCATGGTTGCTTTCTTGCATCTGTGTAATATATGTGCTGTTTGGGCCACCTTTCTTTTAAACCTTTAAACAAAACCATGTTTAGCAGGGAGCTGCTAATTACTACAGTAAAGTTGCAGGGATGGGAGACGATGCCATGGGAACAAGGCAAAGGATGACTATGTTGAGTGTGCGTTTTTGGGCACAAGCAGCATAGAAGGCATGGCTCAGTGGCTTAAAGGACTGCAAAATAGAAACTGAAAACAATGTTATCTCTAGTTTTGTTGACGGATGTGCTGTACGAATCCAGCTTACCCATCTGTGTTTCTATTGTTGGATTGGATCAGATAAATTCAATCTGATTGGGAAGGAAAGAGGTAGAGGGGGAAACAGGTGAAAAACAACAGAGAGGAATATATTTATACAAAACGAACTATAAAGAAAGCTAGTTATAAAAGAAAACAGAAAACCTGCTTCTCAAAACCTTAAAAATAAAGAATATTACTCCACATGGAGGTTTATTATTACGGTTAGCTACCACTGAGCATTGATCGCTGTGCAGTCCATATCCTTCCTCCTGCTCAAAGAAATGCATCCATCTTCTCTGTCCCTATAAGACCTTACCATTCATTTATCTCTGAGTAATTCCATTAATTAATTTTTGCACTGAATCTTTACTACTTGCTGCCCGCTCTCATGTTTTCCTTTGCTAATCCTAGGATTTTGCAACCTGCACCTACAGTAGACTTATTTTTTTAAATTGATAATATTGTAAGACTATAAATATTTACTATCCACACCAAATCACACCCGACATAAATTTAAATGATATCTGAGATACTGGCATAGAACATTTCTAAAGAGTTCTGCCCAGATGACAGTCCTGTGAGCAACTTTAGTTGAAGCACCTTTAAAAGATTGAATTTTACAAAGTTTAACATTTAAACTTTTTCATTTAATTAATGTAGGATTTAATATTTTTGCTTTCATGCAACCTCATTATTCATTGAATTAATTGAGTATTAAGTCTTTTGATATGATTTCCAGATAAAAGCTTTAACCTTTTATAGGACAATTACAGTGAGGTCTAGAAGCCCCATATTTATATCCAGACTTTCTGCAAAGATACTACTACATGGCAGTACACGTAATTTTGGCATTTGACAAATTAGATGAGCCCTTAAATTATATTTTAACTACTGTAAATCCAGTTGAAGAAAATGTGAAATAAGTTAATAATTAATAAGTTGAGTTAAAAAGGTAAAAAGCTAAATGAAAAAGTTAAAAAAAAACTATTTGAAAAGTTAAATGAAGTTAATATGCTTAGATTAAAAGTAAAAATCTAAGTGCCGTATCAGCATTAATAATTTAAGGTTATGTTGTGATAATAATGTGTTTCTTTCACTCTGTGTTTTCATGAATTTCTTATCAAATTCTTTTTTTTTTTTTTTACATATTTGGGCAAGTGACCGTTTCTTGTTATCACATTGACCTTGATTATTGCCTTCAAAATATTCATATTTTTCTAAATGTTACAAAAGTAGTAAGGTCTTTCACCAACCTACAATAACACGCTTACCTTAAGATTTTAGGTTTCAAAGTATTTGACTTAGCGCCCTATTAAGGGCTTATCTTACAAACAGGAAACTTACCTGGGTTTTACTCGGGCATATCTTCACTTAGTTTAACTATTATGACTCAGAAAGTCCTGAGTGTTGATCTGTTCATTGAAGTTTATGCTTAGTTCATCAAATATTTTAAAAATGAATATCACCCATAAGTGATAATGGTTAAAAATGTGTTCCGTTCACAAACATAATTCGACCCAAGGCAGATTTCTATTTCTTAATGTTTTAATATTTGCACTTCTCTCACCCTGCTTCTCCACCTCTTTCTACTTTTATATAAAAATTTCCTAGAGTTGATTTCTATTTTATTATCTGCCTTCAGTTTGTTGCCCATCCCAACTGCCAACAGCAGCTGCTGACCATTTGGTATGAAAATCTTCCTGGCCTGAGGCAGCAGTCCATCGGTGTGAAGTGCTGGACAGTCCTGGGGGTAACCGTGGGTCTGCCCTTCCTGGCTATCGCCTACTGGATAATGCCATGTAGCAAGGTAGGATGTTACTACAAAATAATCAGAAGGATGTATACAGGACAAGCTATGAATAGTTGTTTCTACAGGAATAAGAACATTAAAAACAATAGAAACTAGTAGTAGTATAGAATGCAGGCTTAGCCAGTCATTTTTAAGTTTAGTTCTTTTCCAGCCATCTTTTATTTGGTAGTTTTACACTTCTTTCATATTTCCAAGCATAATTAAATATTGTTTTACTTACTGTATCAGCATCAACTATTTCATAATGAGATATTTTATCTAGTTCTTCTCCAACTTGTATGATCAGCATTTGAAATGTTCAAGTTTATAACAGAAGATAGAAAAAAGGTGAAACAAATCTAGCTTATTGGCAGGGTTACTATTGGCATATTTATTCTGATCCCAATCCCAGCCAAACTTAAATTTGCTGAACACTTCTGGAACAATGGCGGTTGGGTGTAAATGAGTGAAGTAGATTTTACAACCATAAAGAAAACTATTATTCTTAGTAGAAAAGGTAAAACACAGCTTTTCTGCCTCAAATACTCTATATGATGTTGTTGTTGTTAAGCATGGTGGTTGAAAGGTAATGACTTGGTGCTTATCTAGTAACCTTAGGATCTCGACACCTTGCAGTAACAGATTAAACCAAGAACATCTTTTATACAAACTATTCACGTCAAACGTCAGGTCATCAATCTGACCTTTTAATTGGGTCATTTAACTAAACACATTGGATTCAATAAGAATGGATGGTAGAGATACAAATCAAGGGGGCACGCAATGTCAGATTAATGAAGTACTTTGCTGCGACCTTAAGATACCAGGTTTCACAGAAACAAATGCAATGTGTGTAAACAAACTGAGGTATTGTTATTTAGGAGAAATCAGATCCCAATTTAGTTTGAACAGCATTAGAAGCCGTGAAAGCCATATAGAGAACCACTTCTTGTCGCTGCAAGTTTTCTTTCAGCTATTACATTATAGGACATTCTTAATTTTACCAATAATGGTAGGTGTCACAACAGATTTCACCAAAATTAAAATTAAAGACTATTTTTGTAGAAAGTAGCAATCATATTACTGGAGGTTATTCTATTTGGTGTGGTCCTTGTTTTGTTTTTGTTTGTTTTTTGCTCTTGGAGCAGCTTTATTTTAAAAAGAAATCCAATTTAACAGCTGGCACACTGCTGATCTGGGTGGTTAAAGCTAAACTGAAAGATGTGATGGACTGATGGTTTCTTCAATGATCAGGTTTTTTTCAGAGCTTTTCTTAAGCACACATTTAACTTTCCATATGGCTCCTGGGTCCTCCATCTCTATGCTAAAACAAAACATCATCCAAGTTATAAATTGCTGTAAAGAAGATCACTCTATATCCTGTTATTGGATTTCTTCTGTTTTTGTTTGTCACACTGACATGTTTCAGATAATCTACCCCATTTTACTTTTTTAATAAAAAATTTTTTTTCACATATAATCAAATGAGGAAAAAGAAACTATGAAGACAAATCCGGTCCAACGCAAAACAAACATTTTCCACTTAGGCTAAATAACTTGTTGTACCACCCTTGAAATAAATGCTATCATGTATTCCTTATAACCGGAAAAAAATATTTAGCATTACAGATTATTACATTTTTCTTTGCAAAACTGCTCAGAGCAGCCAGACTAAAAGGGTTTTTTATCATTATCTTCCTGTTTGGGGTCATGCCAACATAATCTCAGTAAGAAGGAATTACTTCAAAAACTTTCCTTTTGTTTTTAAGAGAGCATAAAGAAGACTCACTGGCCTGCTTCGAATCATTGCCCTGCTGCTTATCCTAAGGGAAGTTGAGCTTAAGGTCACAAACTGATGTCAAGAGCTTTTCCTTCAGGATTTTTCAGCAGACCACCACCACCAAACATGTGTCCCTATTTCAAAAGAATATTTTCTCCAAGGACTTGAGGATTATTTAGATAAATGATGATACATCATCATGTCAAGGTTATCATTTTAGCTTAAATTTACACCCCATGGTTAAAAAAAAACACTCATGAATAAATATAAAAATAGACAAAAACAGTGCATTATTGTTGGCTTTTTTCCATATACAGTTCTGTGTTTGTTTTGTAAATCATCACCGAGAAAATAGTCTTTTACAGCTTAATGTGTTTTGTTCACTAACAGCCTAACATATATCAGTCGGCTATCAAACAGGTTTCCAACACAGCGTTTCTCTCTATAGATTTCAATCCAATCGAATCCAACTTTATTTATAAAGCACTTTAAAATTTCTCAAAGGACCAAAGAGCTGTACAGTGAAACAACATAAAACCATTACACAGACTCAAATCAGAACTATAAAATCTATGATAACATAAAAATAAAAGTAATTTAAAATTATGTATCACAGACTAAAATCAACATCTCACACAGTTTAGAAAGCCAGGTCAAAGAGATGAGTTTCTAAGAGCGATTTAAAATCAGACAAAGAAATGTATATTTAAATTGCAACTGAAGCTTGTTCCAGCCAAATATTTGGGCAGTTTGGTCATTAGAATATGATAATGGTATTGATGAAAGCACACACAAAAATATGTTTGCACACACAGTTGAATTGCAAACCACTTTGTAAAGATCTGGTCTGCAAATACCAGCATGATTGCACTTGTTTAAGGACGTTCAAACCTTCTAAAGATCAGCTCATTTGTTTCTTCTGTTATTAAATTTCTTTAAGTAGAGGTATGATGTATTATGGTTTTAAATTTCTTCATGTACCAGACAGGCTCTATCTGAGTAACTTAACTGAAATGAATCAGGCCTGCCACTACTGAACCGGAACTTAGCATTAAAATTATGGTAAATCACTTTCCATTTGTCATTTAACAAAAAAGGGAGTCATCCTTTGCATAGGGGCATAATTTTTGGCTAGTTTTAGTTTTTTCCTTCTTATTAGTAAAAATATTATTTGTTTCTTATCTGATTTTAAAGGTTTTTTTAATGGTCTCTACATAGGTGTATAGTTCATCAAACATATGTGTTTTATAATTTTGTCAAACATCAAAATATTGTTGTACTGTAGCTGTTAAAATGAAAGTCTGGAAGGCAAAGCCAACAACTCAAAACTACTAAACAACTTGGCATAAAGATGATTTAGTTTTTACAACTTTTGTGTTTCACACATGACTAAACAAACTGAAGGGAAGAATTAAATTTTCAGGGTCTCCAATGCCAAAGCGAAAAAAACACAAAACAACCCATTTTCACTATAAAATATAAAAAAAAATTCTTATCTCACAAAACAGAAGTAGCACTTTTAAGCTCCTTGGCCACTAAACGAGAGAAAAAAAATTGGGGAAAAAAAGCCATAAAAAAATCCCATCAAACTTCCTTTTAAAACAAAATAACATAAATGAAACTGTTTCTCAAAACAAGGCAGTTCAACTACAGAAATACTGTGACATCGCATGTGATTTTAAAGTGATCAACAGCCAACCAGAATTACTGTAGGTACTAAGATGCAGCAATATTTATATTGTTTTTTTTTTAAAGCCAAAGCTTTGACACATGTCATTTTGCATCAAAGGTTTTTCATAATTAGCATGACCAAATAATCAAGTGGGAATGCTTAAGCATTCCCACTTATTGTTTTTCTGTTTTTATTTATTATTATTTTTCCGTATGTTTTTGGTCGTTAAACTACTTCAACAGTTTTCAGCCGATTTCAACAAATTTGGTATCAAAACGTTCAGCTTGTTCAGGAGAGGGGTGCTATATCTTTTGGTAAAGATATTTCTTGTAGTTTTCGCGATATTCAGCTTTTTGTGCGATTTTTGGCCCCACTGAAATGCATGTAGAATTCTCAGATTTCAGCAAAATTCAGCTAAAACTTCAACTACTTTGAGCTTGAACTACTTCAGCATACTTTCAGCTAGAAACACCATTCAACTTTTAAAATGTTTCTGTATCTTTCTGCTATAACTGTTTAACTCAGCTTTTTGCTAACTTTTATAGTTTTGCTTCAGTGAAGCTTCAAACTTTAAAAGAAATTTTAACGATTTTCAGATTTATAATGGAAGTCTATGGACGGAATTCTTCAACTGTCAGAGTGCGTGCTCTAGCTTTTGAGCTGTTCTGGTTTTTCCGAACAAATTCTTCTCACTCCCACATTTTTCACTCAAATGAAATAAATTTTACATCAAAACGTAGGCATTTTTGTCAGGATTCAGGAAATGTAACCCTCATTTGTGTGGCATTTACGGTTTTCCGACAGTTTTGCCCAGACCACGAAGAAGTCCACACTTCCCCAATAGAAATCCAATGAGAGCTCTCTGAAAATCCGAACTGAAAATTAAAAAAACAGACTTTTTCGTATCACTCCCATTCGGGAACCATTTGACGTAGCAACACGAGCCTTGTGGAAGTTGTTCCTCAGACCTTCCTAGCACTCACATTGAAGGAAGTGTGTCGATATCTTTTATCGTTTAGCTAGGAAAAAGGTTTGTTCGGGGGTAACAAATCTGTCCGAACCCCAAAATCAAGATTTTGACAATTATACACTTTTTTACATCGTCACCACGCCTAGACGAAATATTGTAGAAATATGAAAGCTACACCAGTTGTAGTCCAAAGATGGTTGACGCTCATGGTGAAAGAATTTTTTGAATACCTAATACGGTTTTGGCTCACCGCTCGTTTGTTCGGAGGGAAAGTTTTGCTTTTGAGAGTTCTGCTCTACCATTGTGCTGCATGTTATTCAATGAGACCAGCAGGATTTCTCAAACCTTTTTATTCCTCCTTCCCATTAAGGTTGTGAATGAGCTACATCCTTGAAAGTTACCCCAATTGGAGACAAAGGATAGCTCTCGCTTAGACTGAAAGAATTTTTTAGATACCATTTACGGTTTGTCTTCAGCACTTGTTTGTTCGGAGCTGATAATCCCATTCAAAAAAGCCTGAGAACTAAGGAACGAAAGTGAAGCGCATGTCTCTCTGTCACTGACAGGCTAGTTAACGTCGCCAAGGTAACCGTGCTTCAAAGGATTTTACCTCCACCACTTTAAACAGAACATTTTAATCTAATGGAGGGAGACAACACTGATTTAACATTAGGAAGTGGATACAATATGACTAC